TAATTCTCCCCGCTCCTGAAGGAAAAAGGAACAATAATTCCGTTGGCTGAGCTATGTCCAAGTCGTTATCGTTCTAAAATAGTCTTCTTATTGAACGACTCATCCTCATAATAATACCAAACCGGGACGGAGTTGGAGGGAAAAAAGCGCGTGCAGCATTGCGGATGGAAGGGTGAGCTGCCCGGGGTGCCCGTGGGCAGAAATGGTACGCTGCCCGGTATACCTCGATTCTTGGCCTGCCACTGTGCGTAGTCGCAATCACACGTGCATGACGACAGCACTGGAATTTGGGATCTCTGAATTGCGTATCGTAAAATGGTGCGAAGGGACTAATGGCCAAGGCCCAAGGGAGAGAATTGCGCCGGGCCCAATCTTGGATTGGGGAAAAGGTATAGGCAGGACTCTGATGCGGCCCGCTTGCAAATAGATGTACAGTACCAATCTCTTCATTAATTATGCTTTGAATCAGAGTGAAAATGAAATGTAAAATTGGTGACGGATGGTAGATAAGGCCGTAGTATGCATGTGGCACGAAGATCGCGGATGATTAATTGATTATCATTCTTGTTTCCGGTGGCGGTCATTAAGATATTATCTAAAAAAATTCTCATTAGATTTTAATAAATGTATGTATGCTTTTTTTTTTTTTTGCAGTGCGATACAATATCTTACTAGTTCTCTTAAAAATATTTACAAAATGAATCTGAATCTAATATATATTAGTATTATTATAAAAACATTTTGCGGCTTCCATGTGAAATGCCGAATGCGTCAGTTGGGCGGTGGTAATGGAATCTTTATGGCCACAAAGATTTGAAAATATAAATTTAAATGGATAGCGTTGGGGAATGCATAGTGCTTAGACTTAAATATGAATAGTTAAGGAAATATTCTTTTTGGAACATTGCAATTAAAATTTTAAATTAGCATTAAAAGGTATTTTTTTTTCAAACTTTTATTGTGAGAGACGTGTTATTAAAATAGATCAATTAAAAATTATGCATGCTAATTAACAAAGAGATTGATCTTTATATTATTTAATTACTTTGATGCAATATATTATCTTTTTTTTTTGAAGAAATATATTGTCTAATTTAAAAGCATAGATTGAGTGATGACAAGGGCAATGATAACGATTTTAAATTTAGTGAAAAGACGTAGTCATTTTAATTATAATAAATTAATGTTTGAATTTCTGTTTTAAGGAGTGCTCAACCATGCTTCAAATATGATTATATTTAATAAAAAGATACTTGTGAGTGGAGTTTATAACATAGCAAGCCAAATTCCTATTAAAATAGATACCTGCATTTAATAACTAATAATGCCTTCGAACAGAATGATCTTCAATAAAAAATACTTATAGGTTAAAAAAATTACAGTGCAAAATTTTTATTATCTGTCAAATCTTTCACCTCTTAATCAGTTAGTTTTATTCTAACTATTTTGAAACAAAAAAATAATACAGTAATTTACTTTTTTTCATTAAAAAATATGATAATTCACTCGTGTATCGATGAAGCACACGACTTTGAAATGAAGAAAATTCAAATGCTTCCAAGTTTATATTTAGGGCAAGCACCAATTAAAAATGTTTCATATGTGTGTGTGTCTCCCTTCTGTAGTAGTGTAGTTACGCCAACCATTTTCATAAATTTGAAAATAATTAGAAAATTAAATTTCAAGAAGCTAATTAAATTTATACGTTCAAGTAATTGAAAATAAAAAAAAGTGAGATCTTCCTTCCCCCATACTCCTGTGCAAGCTACATGATTGGGCATGGAAGGCATATCAATGACGTGCATTGAAAGAAAACAGATGTATCCATTTATTGAATTTTGTCTTTACCCCAATGATTGATTCACTGCAGTTCCCGCATTAAAGAGATGGGAAAATTACAACCGGCTGGAGGAATGTATTTACAGGCAAATATTAAATAATTTTAAAACTATGCTACAGTATTAAAAAGTTAGAATATAATTAATTTTTAACTTGAAAAGATGTAATCGCCTCTCAAATTTCTTAAAAAACCTCCTTAGCCACTAGCCGTCAGTGGCCGGACCATCCCACCGGACTGATTGTTTGAACTCCGACAACAAAAATCGTAACCGCAAAAGTTTTGATGCCAATCAACAAATCCATGAGGAAGGCAGACTATTTTTTTTTAAATGGTCAAGATTAGTTTGAACTCATGTCCTCTTAGTCAGTAGGTTAATAAATCTTTTCAATTGTATAATGTAAAATTTTATATATATACTTAACTGTCTTTTCACTTTTCATGCCAACATTTATTAGAAGCTCAATGATTACTTGTCATTTTATAAATGGTTACTTGTTAAACTACCAATAAGACTTGTTAAAAAATTTATTATGCACTAATTTTTATAAATACATATTTATTTTTATTACCAGGAATGACAAGTTTTCTTAATAATTTAACAAGTAATCGTTTGTAAATGACAGGCCCCGTTACTAACTTGAAAAATTTCTCTTGATAATTTAATAAGAAAATTTTAATAAAATAACAAGTTCTTGTGAGCTTTTAACATGTAAAATTCTAGCAATAAAAATAAATAAATATTTATAAAAACCATTCTATATTAAATTTTTGTGACAAGTTTTCATTAATAATTTAACAAGTGATCATTTGTGAAATAACAAGCCCTATTATATTTTAAAATTTCCTTCCACTTTTCATGCCAATGCTTATCAATAACTTAATAGTTATTTATCATTTTACAAACAGCTATTTGTTAAACTACTAATGGGACTTATTAAAAAATTTAATAAGCACTAATTTTTATAAATGCTTACTTGTTTTTATTATCAAGAATGATAAGTTCCTAAAAGCAATTTAACAAGTAATCATTTGTGAGATGACAAGTCCCATTATTAATTTTTGAAAAAAAATTTTGATAACCTGACAAAAAAATTTTAGCAAAATAACAAGTTTCTATAAGTTTTTGACATGTAAAATTTTAGTAATAAAAACAAGTGAACATTTATAAAAACCACTTCATATCAAATTTCTTTAACAATTCTTCGTTAATAATTGAACAAGTAACCATTTATGAAATGACAGGCCCTGTTACTAGCTTTATAAATTTTCTTGATAGCTTGACAAGAAAATTTTAGTAAAATAACAAGTTTTTATAAGCTTTTGACTTATAAAATTTTAGTAATAAAAACAAGTAAATATTTATAAAAACCACTCTATATTAAATTTTTTAACAAGTCCCTATTGATAATTTAACAAATAATTATTTGTGAAATGACAAGTTTTGTTATTAGCTTTGAAAATTTTTCTTAATAGCTTGACCAGAAAATTTTAGCAAAATAAAAAATTTATATGAGCTTTTAACATGTAAAATTTTGTTAATAAAAATAATTAAACATTTATGAAAGCCATTACATATTAAATTTCTTTAACAAATCCCCATTGATAATTTAATAAGTGACTATTTGTGAAATGATAAACCCCATTACATTTTAAAATCTACTTTCACTTTTCATGCTAATACTTATTGGGAGTTCAATGGTTACTTGTTATTTTACAAACGGCTACTTATTAAACTATTAATAGGGACTTGTTAAAGAAATTTAATATGGAATAGTTTTTATAAATTTTTACTTATTTTTATTGCTAAAATTTTACATGTCAAAAGCTCATTAGAACTTGTTATTTTGCTAAAAAGAATTTGTCAAATTATTAAGAGAAATTTTTAAAACTAGTAATGAAACTTATCATTTTACAAATGTTCACTTGTTAAATTATCAACGGAGACTTGTCAAAGAAATTTAATATAGAGTGGCTTTTATAAATGTTTACTTATTTTTATTGCTAAAATTTTACATGTCAAAAGCATGTAAGAACTTGTTATTTTGCTAAAATTTTCTTGTCAAGTTATTAAAAGAAATTTTTAAAGTTAGTAACTTGGCTTGTCATTTTACAAATGGTTAATTGTTAAATTGTTAATGGGAACTTTTTATTCCTGGTAATGAAAGCAACTATGCATTTATAAAAATTAGTATATATTAAATTTTTTAACAAGTCTCATTAGTAGTTTAATAAGTAGTCATTTGTAAAATGACAAGTAATTATTGAGCTCCTGATAAATGTTAACATAAAAAATGGAAACAAAATTAAATATATATACAAAACTTTGTATTATATAATTGAAAGTATTTGTTAAAAGATAGTCTACCTCCCTCACTGGTTTGATGATCGACATCGGAGCTCCGACGGTGGTCTGACTATCGCTGCCAAAGCTCAAATAGTCGATCCGACAAGGTGGTTCGACCACTGACGTCGGAGCTCCAACTGCTAGTGGCCAAGGAGTTTTTAAAAAAAAAAAATTGAAAGACAATTTTACCTTTTTACATTAAAAATTAATTATATTTTGGTCTCTTAGTACTGTAGCTTAATTTTAGAATTATTTGGTACTTGTATGTAAATAGATTCTTCTAGCTGTCTTTGATTGTAATTTTTTCTAAAAAGATTTTCTAGGGAAATGAAATCTTTCGACTCCACGTCAATTATAGAGTCCAATGAATATAATTTAATCCATGTAGTATACACCAAATGTAACTATTTGAATGAAACGTGGCATACCCTCTACGTATCTCTCTCCCTCTAAAAATTTAGTTAAACTATTAAATCAATATTTTGACTAGCTTAATAAAATACTTTATTTATAACTAATTGAATCCCAATATAATTCCAACTTTGAATATTAACCGTTAATCAATACCTTAATCAGTCTAATTTTCGATATTTGTTTTTTTTATTTTGGTACAATGTTTTTTTTATTACAAAAAAGGTCAATATCGTCATGTAGCCCGATAAATGTTAAAATGCCACTGACATTCAAATCAGATCACGAAATCCCCCCACTCCCAAAAAAAAAAAAAGAACCTTACTCTTTTTACTCTTTCCCACTTTCCCTGCTTCCATCCTGTCTACCAACTTCAAAGCCACCATTAGCGGGGAACAGCTAAAATAACATTTCAACAATTTAATTCTGCTTAAAGACCTAAGTATGTAAATAACATTTCAACAGTCTAGCCGAATAAAACATCTAAGTCTGCCAAGGTACACAAATGTCATTCTCCCTTTACATTATTTTGAATTATTTTAGTAAATTTTCCTTGAAAACAAAGGCCTCTTCATTCATCCCCTCGCTTGAAAAGCAAGATTGGGGGGACTCAACAAGCCCATCAGGCAGGCAAAAGGCATGACCAGTTCATTGTGATAATATTCGATCTGTATCAGTCACCCATACAATGTAATGATGTATCACCTGTCATCGCCGCCACTCTATCCTCATCCGATCATATTAGCCGAAGAGCATAAAACAAGTAATAACATGGCACGTTACATGGTCGTGGTTTTTCTTTCTTTTTTTTTTACATGGTCTTGCATCCTGCCACCTTCCCCTCAACCAACGCCGAGCTTTTGTAGGGCTTTCAGTGGTGTGTAACTATCAAATATATCTGTGAAATAAACAATTAATGGTAACTTCACTCTCATCAACCTTCTTGCCCTGGACTCCCATCGTTATTGTTAACACCATCAGAAAGCTGAACCCATAGACCTTGATTTCTTTCAACACCATTTTCCCAGGTTTGTTGTCTCACACTTTTATCATTTGTATCTGCACCATCAGAAAATCGGGCCCACACACTTCGGCATTTTCCTTCTCCGCTAAATTCTTCCCCACACCCTGCTACTGTCTTTAGCAGTTCTGATTGTAGCAATGGACAGTCCTCCTTAAGATACTCAAAACCATCAGATTGCATCACAGCTGCAACAGACAACAAATGAAGAAATGGGAATAAGAATAAAATGCTTAGAAATCTGATGGGCAAAACTGAGTTCTTTCTCGATTTCCAAGTTTCTAATGAAAACGCGAAGTCAAAAGCCACATGCCAATGGAACACGGGAAGCCAAAATTGACACGTAAGCAAAGTCTTGTAATAGCTAACTGTGAAAGGGGCAGGGAGTTGCTAGCCTAACCGCTCAAGAGGCTTTAGTGTGCCTGATGCTTCGGCCATGTAAGTTGCTGCGAACAACTACTTTTGACCTGCACCCACTTCCCTTCATCACTTTCCCCGATCTTAGCTTTCTTAGAACGCCTACTGTGCGAGTATAGGACTTGGGTGATGTGGGTTTCTATCAAACTGTGCCTAACAAGACAATCATTAACGGAAGTAGATTGTGCTTCAAGGGCAACAGTTACTTTTGCTAAATGCCTAAATTTCTTCTTCTCATTTCCATTTTAAAGTGCAATTTGTCTATCTAGGTCCTGAGAATTAAGTTTCGTCCTTTTTTATTTAAACTGCGTGATTTGTCTATCTGGGTACTGAGAATTGCAGGATTGGATTTGAACTTGCGATAGAAGGACATGTGAGCTTTGACGGCTTCTTCCATGACGAATTTGGAAGAATGAGAGCGAGCAAGGGTGAATGCTACTCGATTATTGATTGATTTACTAAATTTATGTTGATTTTTTATTTCAGTTTTGATTTCTTTCTGCTTCCATTAATTTCTGCTGTATTGATGGATGTTTCCGGTGAGCAAGGGTGAAGACAGTAATGATGAGCGAGGTTAGATGGACAAGGAAGGGTAGCGAAGCAAATTACACATTCTACGTGCCATGTGGTAGTGAGGTGGAGAGGTGGAGAGCAAGGTGGAGTGACACATGGACATTTTTGTCAAAAAAATTGTTTAATGGCCAAAATAACTTCAGGTAAACTTTAGGGGCAAGAATGATCCAGTTTTGAACATTTAAGGGAAAGATTGTATTAAAATTGAATTTAGGACAATGGGTATCCCTAAGAGTATGGTTTAGGGACAAAAATGGGCTTTGACCCTTTATTTAATTACAATTTACATATCAACAATCCCCCTGAAAAACCCTTGACCTCAAGGGTCTGGAATGCTGAAAGAAGGATGCCGTTTCTGCAAATGAAACAGTGATATCCAGCTAGATTATTCATCTAGGAGACCTTTGCACTGCACCAAGACTTTTGTGATGATTCTCCCCTTTCTTCTACCCTATTCTCTTGTTCAAAATCTTCTCTAGCACCAAATTTGGAGGAGGTTCAAGCCAATCTAAAGGTAGATGCCTTTGTTTAAACAAAGGATCAGGGCACAATTTCAAAAAAGAAACTTGAAAAGTGGGATGAACCCTTGGTTCTGAAAGTAATTCCAATCTGTATTCAACTGGTCCCACCTTTTGACAGATTCTATGGGGCCCAAAATACCTTGGAGCTAGCTTTTGAGTGCTCCTCAAGGCTGCCAAAACCTGCCTATAAGGTTGCAACTTGAGAAACACCCATTGGCCCACTTCAAACTTCCTATCAGACCTGTGCAAATCTGCTTGCTGCTTCATTCTATTCACAACACTGTTGAGATGATGTTTTGCAATCCCAAAGCCTCTTCTCTTGTTGCAAATGACCTATCAACGGCCTCCAAAACCACATTTCAAGGTAAAAAAGGCACATGCATTGGTGGTTGCTGTCAACTCATAAAGGGTAGCCTCGGTGGAAGTGTGAAAAGAAGTATTATACCAACATTCCACCAAAGATAGCCACTTACACCAATCCTTTGACTTTTCCCAACACATACAAGGCAAGTAATTCTCCTAACACCTATTGAGAATCTTGGCTTGGTCATTTGTTTGGGGATAATAAGAAGTTAGCTTGTGTTCAACCCCCAGAACCTTCAAAAAGTCCTTCCAAAAATCGCTGATAAAGATAAGAGCTCTATCGCTTATGATTTCTAACAAAGATCCATGCAACTTGCACACATAATGTAGAAAAATCTGAGCCAAAGTTGCACAAAATTTGCACAGTTACTCAAATGATCTACCAAAAACCATATTGTATCTTTACCATTGGACTTGGGCAACCCTTCAATGAAATCCATAGTCACCCTCCTAAATCCTACTAGGAAAAGGAAGTAGTTGTAACATCCCGAGATATGCCACTGATTCAGACTTACACCTAGCACAAGTGTAACAATGGTTAACAAATTCCTTCACATCTTCAAACAATTTCTGCCACCAAAACAGCTTTTCAACCCTTTGATATGTCGTTTGCACACCTGAATGACCTCCTTGTGACCTAGCATGAAGCCATTCCAAAATTTTGTGCCTTAAACTAACGAAATTTCCTACCACTAATCTGCCGCTTTTTCGCAAATGTTGTCCATCCCATGTATATTTTCCCTCTATATCCCCTTGCTACGGCAAATAAGCCCCCTTAAAACTCTTAAATCCACGTTATCTTCCCAACTTTTCCGAATTTCCAGAAAAAGATCATATGAGAAAGTGTGAAGAGCCATCTGAAATAATTCATGCCAAGGCATGCTAGAAAGAGCATCCGCTGCACTATTTCCATTACCCTTCTCATAGTGAATTTTATAGTTGTAACCCGTGAGTTTTGCCACACAAAACATCTGAAATGAAGTCTTCATAATTAAGCCTTGCAAGTCCGTTTTAATGACTTCCTTCCTTCCTTCAAAATGTTGGTGCAAATGTTTAACGGCTTGCACCACAGCAAGTAACTCCTTCTCATAAATTGAGAGATTCAAATGCTTAGGAGCCAAAGCCTTGGTGAAAAAGGCTAAAGGTTGATTCTGTTAGATTCAACCACAAATGCCTTAGAAAAATCTGGAAGTGCAAGAAGTACAGCATTCTCTAACCAATGGAAGTTATTTTTCTTCAATAAATCAGTCAAAGGCCTTGTCAACAACCCATAACCTCCAATAAACCTCCTTTAGTATCCACCCAACCCCAAAAAACCTTAATTGCTTCACAGTAGCTAGTTCTGGTCATTCCAGCACTGCTTCAATCTTCTTTGGACTGGTTGAAAATCCTCCTTCACTAATGATGTGAGCCAAGTATTCTACTTGAGTTGTAGTGAAGGTACACTCACTATCTTCACAAAATAGCTATTTTTTCTCAAAGTGTCCAGCACTATAGTTTATGCAAGTGTTGCACATGAAACTCCATACAAGGGCAGTGCACCAAAATATCGTGAACAAAAACCAATACAAACTTCCTCAAATACTCTCTTAGGATGTTGTTCATTGCACCTTGAAAAGTTGCAAGTGCATTAATAAAGCCAAATGGCATTACCAACCATTCATAGTGCCCTGAATGAGTTCTAAAAGTTGTTTTGTTAGTATCTTTAGGCTCCATTTTGATTTGATGGTAACCAGCATGTAAATTCAACTTTGCAAACCCCTTGCTTCCCTTAACTCATCTAGAAGCTCTTCCACAAGAGGGATAGGATACTTGTTCTTGACCTTCCTCTTGTTAACCTCACAATAATCCACCAAGACCCATCTTTCTTGCACACCAATACGACTGGTGAAGCTAATGTTGACAAGCTTTCTTGTATGACTTTTAATGGCAACAAATCCTTCACCATACCCTCAATAGCATTCTTTTGAGGTGCTAGGTATCTATATGGCCTCAAATTCACTAGATCAGAACCTTCTTGCAGAATAATTGGATGGGCTTAGAGGAGGAAGGCACTTGGGCTCATTAAACACATCCAAAAACTCTTGAATCCCACTGGCAGCACATTTTCTCCCAGTTTTGAAACATTGTAGCCTTTCATCACATTCTTCTAACATTTGCAATAGAAACATTTGCCCTCTAGCTTCTAACTCTCCTTCAATCTTCTTAAAATCCATGATTTTGCGAGGCTGCAACTTACACAATTTTCCATTATACCAAAAGGTCATGTATAAGATATCATAATCTCAATGAGCTTGGTGAATGGTTTTGAGCCAAGACAACACCAAAACCATATCACATGTCCTAACTTCCATTACGCTAAAATCTACTTCAAATTCTTCATCCTGCGCCCTCTATTTACCCTTCTATATGTGATAAACCTTCAATCTCCCACCTCCTGCTGCCTCAACTTCTACAGTAGCACAAGTGTCTCCTTTTCACCTAATTTTTCTGGCTAATGCACAATCCATATAGGCATGAGAAGCACCATCATCAATGAGAATCTGAACAGGTCTCTTGCCCACATAGCCTTGAACTCCTGTAGCTGAAGGCCCAACACTCCCTTGAATAGCATGGAGTGAAATATGTAGGCATTCAGATACTTCTTGGACTGCGACCCCCTTTCTTGTGTCATCTTCAGCCATACCTCAAACTCTTCATCCAATTCAATGAGTTGAAGCTGCATTCTTTGCCTTTGTAGACAGCTATGGCCTTTCGAAAATGTCTAGCAGCAATAATAGCAGAAACTTTTTGCTTGTAGCACCTCAACCTCCACTAGGCTTAATTTTCTAGAGCTTTTCGTGCTGGTTCTTGATGGTACTGATAGTATAGAGGAAGAAACAGAGGAGACAGAATTTGTTTTTGATTAATGGGACCCACTACTTCTAGAAGGCATTTTTGCACCTCGCCACCTGTCTACAAAGGTTGGCACGTTCTAAGTTTGACCAAGAAGAGGCGCTCAATCATTTCTTGTTCAGATCATGAATTTTTGCAAGGCTTCGTGCTCCTTGGAGGGTTGACAGGTTCAAGATACAGATCTGACCTCCAAATACCTCTTCCAATCTTGACATATACGTTTAAACTAATTAATCCTCTAGCAGTCGAGGTTTGTACTTTGTAGATAATTGAATCAAAGGCATCGTTGTAAGTGTCTGGAGAGCTTGACTAACACAATTTCATTAAACCACCCATTAGGGCTTTGAACAGAGGCCCAAAATTAGTCTTTGAAGCCTCTATGTGGTTTGCCCACAGTCGTTTGCTCCCATGCTTGGTGCCATTGGAATGCCCCTTCATCAAGACGAAGGCTTGCCATGGTAATCTTCCAATCTTCAAGTGTAGCAGGCAGGTGAAAATACCTTTCACATTTTTAAATCCAACCTATGATGTCTGCACGCTGAAAACAAGGAAAGCCCGTCCTTGTGAACCTTGTGGCTGGCTGGTAGTCCCTAGCTTCATTTCTTGGACGACCATGTCCGTTGTTGTTGCTCCCATTGCCTCCTCCAGTTGAGTCACCTCTTTCACGAATCAGTTGTGCAACCTAGGCTGCCAAGGCTTGAATTGTGATTGACAAGGAAGCATATCTTTGTAATTCATTTTCAATGGCACGAATTCGTTCTTCAGAGCTTTCTACCATTGCACATTGATGCTTCTGCACTCTTGTCTCTGGCCTACAGGCTGAATACCATCGGCTCTAATACCACTAATGAGTAGTGGTAGAGAGAATAGGAAAAGAAAAGAGGAAGAAGTGGAAGAAGAGAGAAATAGGATAGAGAACAAGAGAGAGATGACTGAAGAGTACTCTGCAATTTTATCAAGCATAAGACAATCTGATATACACAACCTCATCCCTATATATAGGGATCCTAACCTGCTATCATTATTCTCCTAATAGTCTTAACTCTTAACTATATCTATTTAATTACAATTTACGTGTCACATATTTAATATGACAACTACAAGTTCATTTCCATACAACAAAGATTGACAAGTACATCATCAGTAGTTTCCATCATACCCTATTGATATATAGGATTGTTAATTCTTTTTAATAATTATTTTTATTTTGAGCAACCAACAAATGTAAATTCTGAAACACTAGAGGAGAACTGCAATGAAGTGAAATCATTTAATCATCTACGCATACCACCCGTCTTATTATCAGTGAAGTCTTTCTAAACAAGTTTCATTTTACAACTTGAGTATGTGCTCATGACACAAAAGTCTGCTACTAAACTTGGTTGGAAAATGTTGGGATGGTGCTGAAAATCAAATGTCTAAAATTCTGTAATCATTGCCCATAAAATTACTGCGACAATGTCAAATACAGGCATTATCTACCGGCCACTCAGCTAGAAAATCATCATATGCTAATAATCAATACATCTTACACAGCTGAAGAACACAGCATAGCACAAAAGGATGCCAAATCTTATAAGCTAAAAAATAGTTGAACTTCAAATCTCAAGTTCCAGAGTTGGAAAGTTACGCAGGAAAACTTACCAACAAGGTTCTCAGCAGAAAATTTTAGACATATGGACTTCAGCTCTGTAGCATGATAACGATCAGCAAGGGCCAGCATATAAGAAACAGAATCTACAGATATGTCTTTGCAAAGTACAGATTCGCACATCAGTTTAAGTCTTGGCAAATCATACTTTTCCGCAGCAGCTAACAATTTTGCAGCAAATGTGTCAGATACTGCTGGCAAGAAAGATGATTGTGACAGAAAGAGCTCTTCATCTTCTATAAGTGTGTCTTTATAAATAAAGTGAAGCAATGCCTGCTCAACAAAAGAGCTCAAGAAACATCATATAGCCACACAAATGAAGCTAGGAAAAGTCTAGATGAAATGAGAAAAGAAAAAAGAGAAGATATTTTTTCTTCAGGTAAGTATTACCTTGAAAACCTTTGGTTTCATGTCAGTAACAACTATCTCTTGATTATCTTCCTCCATCCTGTTGAAAAGTTCAGTCTCAAATACAGTAGACCGAGCAGCCAATACAAGCTTATGTGCACGAAATTTTTCCCCAGAAACAGAGAAAATGACATCTGCTTCTTCCTCATTCTCTAATAGCATGCCAAGATGTGCTCCAATATCAGATTCAGGAACCTGTATGCTGTTCGATTTTGAACAATCTATAGATGAGACTACAACACCAACAGTGCAATTTATCTTCAAGCAGTCATCTTTAATGAAGGTAGATGCCTCAAGCTGAGCTCGTTTGAAAAACCGTTTATAACCCCTAATAGAAATGAGAAGTATATCAGGCAACATCGGAATTATAGTAGCATGAAACAGGACATAACAATGAAACCTTGGCACCATCAACCTAGGACATGACACGAGGTATGCGTGATACTAATTTACAAAAGAATGATAATGTTAAATGAACAGCTTAAACTGAAAAACCACCATGAAATCTAAAACTTCATTTGTACCACTGAAGCTACTGGCCAAGGAGATTCATTTCATATCCCTCACCATCAGTGCTTAAAAACATCATTAATTAATTAGTGTTGGCAATATATATGCACAAGTAAAACATTGAAGAACTGTTATATACTTCACGCCTGTATTTAAGAGAAAGAAAAGGTGCCGTTTATGGTAAACAAACGGCGCCCAAGGAATACAATCTTTTGAATGAACAAAAAATCCTTAATACAATGAATGAATCAATACTCAGGGGGGGGAAGAAAAAAAGCTCACCACATGCTGCCTCTGTATTTGAGAGTATAGGGTCCGCTCTCAAGCGACCGATCGAAGTGGCTATGAACTTTATGCTTTCCATTTCCGCTTTGATCCACCAAAGTCAGCTCGAACAGTGCTCGTACATCAGTACCCTCGCTCGCAAGCGCAATGAAGACCGAAACATACGCAGAATTATCTTCGGGATTCTTGCCATCAGGATAGAAATATATAGCCCACTGGTACCCTCCGACCGTGAAATTCTCGCTGGCTAAATGCTTGCCAATGCCGATCCCTTTGGCAAGAGAGTAGCCTCTAATTACGAAGTTGTGCGAACCATTCACGGTCTCCGTCACCGACCGGGAGCAAGAGGGAGAGACCAAAATGCTCCGGTTCGGCGAGTGCATCACGTTATTCTTGAATACGGAAAGAAGATCGTGAAAAGGAAAACGAAAACGAGATTTGATGGATCCCCTACAAGCAAGATTCCTTTCGTGGGATTTTCAGGGGAAAAGAAGGAAAATTGGCTGCAGCTGCAAATGATGTTGACTAAGCTCGAATCTATCCTCTTGGTGTTCCTTTATCCCTTAATTGAATAGCCGCATATATTGCAAATGAAGCCAAGAATTTTACCCGGAGATTCTCGCCTTCTCGGTGCTGGAGGATTCTCCAAAATCGAGACAAAAGACCTCGCTTGATTAGGATCTGTTTTGTAGGCTCGTACCAAAATAGAGAAATAGGAATTAATGAAGTTGGCGGTTTTCTTGTCCGAAAAACCTCATCAGACTGACGTGTCTTCCATTTGAAAGGCGTCTCCCTCTTCGCCCGCCCATCAGGTCCTTCCTTGCACTTTCATGATGCATGGGCTGATACTATATACGAAAACGAAATGAGCCGTAATGCATCACCTCTGATACTGTTATTATCTTGTCAAATATCTAAAGTATTTATATACACGCTACGCGTACACATCCTAGTCGGAGAAAATTTTCATTGAAATGATGAAACCTCATTAAAAATATTTAATTCAAAATTTACAAGTCAGAAAAATTCAAAGATCACAAATTTAAGTTATGGAAAGTAATAATTAAAGATTTTAAATAAGAAAACTTTTTTTTAGCAATATTAATTATGTCAAAAGGACTTGAAGAAAAAAATTAATAGTTTAAACTTTATAAATGAAAAAAAAAAAAAACATCACGAAGATAACTCCAATAAACTCCAATAAACAAAAGTTAGTCGTAGAAATGGCTTGAAGAATTTGAGATTAATTACAACCCAAAAAAAAAAAATGGTATGGCCCGAGAGGTCCATTCCCTAGTTTGGCCTCAAAATAGAAACCGTTTTTCGGCGCCAGCCCCTCTAAACCTCATTTAATATATCAAAACTTGGATTTTGACTCTTTTTTTTTTTATTCCAATGTTCTCAAAAGAAAGACTTGTTTTTTTTTTTTGGCAAGATAAAATTTAGATTAGACCCGAAATCTTGCTAGAGTTAAGACCAACATTACAACTCAAAGGAAATTTACAAAAGTAATCACAAATTATCCATCAACGGATTTACAATAGAATTTAAAGTTTAAACACATCCTTACATAAAGTATGAATTACCTACTCATTAACTAAACCCATCTTTATTGAATTGTGTGTGTGTGTAAAGTTCATTCGAAAACGGCTTCTATAAATTTGAATTGTTAACCGCTAGAATATATCAGGTGCTAAAAATTAAATGGCATAAAATTCAAATGTTTCTTATATAATTAAAAAGATGAATTGTTTTCACGAAAAATTGATCCATAATTATACTCTCCATTTCTCAAAAACAAAGATCTATTGTAAGTTTCTCGTAAAGAAGCTTCTTTTTAATTTAAATCTAAATAACATTTTGTTGCCAAAACAACAAAAATAAAGAAAAGTGTATATTTCGAAAAGTTAGGATAAAAAAACATAGGACTTATAATTTCAGCAAAAATTAATATTTAATCCATTACTATATACTAAATTATTGGGGGGCATAAAAAAGAACTCAGCCAGTTTCATTCGATTTAAACTAAAATTATCCGTTTATAATTAACGTTGTGCAAACAATTATCAAAGATTTACCAGGAAAAAGAAATATACAATGCAGATAATTCAGTCAAACTGCAGCATTTATATATCTAATCTACGTGTTACTTACAAAAGCAATTCTGACTTCCTATCACAGTATCACTCGATCTTGTCACTGCTTCCCCTAATTCTGAAAAACAAAAAATGTGTACCAATTAATAGAACCTTCAACCATAGTCACTGCCAACTAAAAATTCCATATCCATTTTCACCTCCTACATCAGAGGAATCCGATTCACTTCCCTCTGTCTCGTCTGAACTTGCACTTGGAAGGAGTTGTATCCGGTCTGCATGCTCGACGATCCACTCAGTAAATTCAGGAGACGATGCCCATTCTGATAGAGCTTGTCTAGTGGATTCTCGTGTGAAATCATCCCACTCTTTCTTTGTGAACTTCTTTCTGTTGCCTGTCCTATGGAAAGTTGAATAATAATCTCCTGCCCGTGCTCCAGAAGATCGGGGTGACGTTCCATTCCTAGAAGATGGTGATATGATGCCTGAAACAGACAAAATAAGTGTACCACATATGACGGCAAAGTTATTTTGACTCTAAACAAGCAAATATGCTAGATGTTTGGGCTTACTTTAAGGAATTTAAGACAAATTGTTGCATGAGTTGCCTTTATCAATCTAGGAAACAGTCTTTTTGAGAATTAAGACCATACCCTAGTACCAATACTATTTTTGAAGAAGATCAGAGGAATGATGTTCTGGTTTCTCAATTCTTTAGAATTGAAGCTATGTACCGTCTGCTAGTGGATCCTATGAATTTAAGCAAGCATTAAAAAAATTAAAAAAAAAAACACACACACACACACACACAAACCCAGATTTAAAGGCTAGCTAACGAAAGGGAATTACAGACCTCAATTTTTAAACAACTTTATTCTGAATTCCATATTGAAATTATAAAAAGGGGAGGAAAAAAGAGACTGGCAAGGTATTCAGATTTCAAGTTAGGACCAAAATCAGATTTTTCCTTAATGGGAGAACTTTTTCAACAAGTTAGAAATACATCCATGCTTCAGAGCATACAACAACAACAACAACAAGCCTTTCTATATATCAAAAAGTACGCTTTAAAGTATATCAAAAAATTAAGACACAGCATATATCAAAAAATTAAATTAGGTATTGCTTTAAAGTATGCACTGCAGTAATTATATATCAAAAAGGTAAAAACAATAATAGAATAATACCTTTGACAGGAGAATTCGACCATGCACACTGAATTTGAGGGCTATTCCACAATTTTCCATTCGGGGTTGACTTGCTTAAGAATTCAGCACGACCACGCCTTCCTCTAACCTGCCCAGCATGCCATGATGTATAATTCTCCTTCCCTGAAGTGCACCTACACGAAATCACAATGCCAATGCCATTTTGTGTGGAGGAAAAACGTACGAACATCTAACACTGATAATGAAAAACCAAAGTCTATCAAGCCAAACTCAGACAGCCATACATACACTATTTTAGTTTCCTTATGATCTAAATAGAGAACTGGCTCAAATTCCCTAAAATGGGATTTTCGCATTCAAAATCTAGAGTCTGAAACAGATAACCTTTCATGAAAACATCAAAGAATTTCCAAATAAAGTTATCACAAGTCTTGACAGTCACATCGTATAATATTTTGGAAGAATCCACAACGAATTTTCAAAACAGATGAATCTATGTGTGCTTGAAAGGCAAGATGAAAAACTCTCCAGGACCAGGTGTGCACAGGTTGAATAGAAAATTATTGCCAGCATGGTAACTATCAAGGGTAAAATGCTTTAACATAAACAAAACAAAGCATCAAAAATTACGAATACAACTAATCTTACCATCCATAAAGATGCCTTATAGAAGATGTAAGTTTGCAGAAGGTCCCACACAAAACCAACGCTCCTATTGCCAGAGGAGGATCAAGAGTGCTCTGTCAAAGAATGGATAACCAGAATGATTAAGAACAAGTACATCAATACCTAAAAGAATAGTGTTCAACAATCCAAAACAATAAACATTTGGTAGTAGTAAACAAAAACTTCAGCACCAGCAAAAATCACGAAAGATCCGATGAAAATGTCTGTAATACAAATCAACAAAATAAATAAAACAGCTTTCAGAGTCTCCATGAGATAAGAACCAGATTAGAAACTTGTAGGGGATTTGATATGATAGGTCATAAGATAAAAAGCTCTTCAGAGTCACTATTGTATTTCGGAAAAGGAACAGAGTATCAGATATAGAAATTTAAATTATATGATAAGAAGATAGAAATGTCTTCATTTAATCATTTATACCATACAATTTATACAAAATTTGAAGTCCAACAAGCACAGGCAAGTTTAAATGTAACATGTATCCACAAACAGAAATGTGTTCATCTTGAAAAAGCATGCAACAAAAACAAGTCACTCAACACAATCCAAAATGACAAAGTGAAATTATCAGATATATGACAAAGTGGGCAAATGTCAATGACAGTCATAGTATATACAAAGAAAAGATAAAAGGCAAACCTGCAAAATAAATGTGGTGCCAAGGATGCGCATTGCCCATTTCACAAATTGTGCGACGCTAGAATCCACACCACCATCTTTTGAAATAACGAATCTCCTAACAATCCAATAGCCTAATGCAGCTCCAGCCAGGATGATCCCCACTAGCACAAAAACTGTAACCTGTGAACAAATAAAGGAGGGGGAGGAGCATCTGAGTTATAATAACTTGCGTTTGCAACCTAATAAAAGTTGCTGGCAACCTGCTAGAGTTACACAGCATAAACCAAAGAAACCATCTTAGAGGTGCGAGGTGGAAAATAATAGCTAAAGGATAAAATCTAATTATCTAAAGAATTGAGGTTGAGCATGGTCTGGAATATTAAATTTCCATACTTTAAAAAGAGGAAATTACTTTTCTATTGATCTCACAATATTTTTTGCTGACCTAGACAAAGAAATTAGCATTCCAAAAGGATATTTCACGTGAAATAAAGCCCAAGGGATCAAAAGCTACCTCATGGAATTTAAGAATACCAACTGCAATGTAAAGGAGATAATAATGATTTACTTACTGTCTGCTACAAGAATACAACAGATTAAATCAAACGGAAAATGGAGTTTAAAGAATATAAACAAATTTCTAATTGCACAGTTTTTCAGGATAAGCCAAAGTGAGTGTATTTTATTCTAGATCAAGATATACATACAGAATAGATTTCATAGTGACCTCCTTTAGGCATGCCATGTGTAGAACCACCCCAACACAGAATATTCTACACACCGACTGTCTGTACACAAATATTAAAGAATAAACAGACCAGAAAAAGAGAAGCACTAAATGCTAACTCAGCTTGAGTCAGAAAGAATTAATGTGTAAAATTCCAATTATTGTCATCACTTGAGCAAAGAATTGCACGCAAAGGTTCAAATGGGTCTTGGAAAAAAAAAGGCAAAAAGGTTTTAGATTCTGAAAATGCATATACAACTCAATCCATTTGCTAGAATGTAGAACAAAAGATCTTAAAACAAACAAATATCCACAAAATCATGCAAGAATCTTACTGGATTGTGCATCTCTTCGCTCAGCCCAAAACTCTGAAGAATTGAATTTATGAAGACAGAGAAGTGGTGCAAAAGGAACGACCCTGCTCCAAGCTGAAACAACACAGAAATAAGATCCACAGTTTTTTAAATAATAAGTAATAACATCAATCATTAATTTTTTTCATTAAACATGAAGACCTGCTGGTGATTTGGTGATCAACAAAGACCAGGATTAAGGTAAACTCACCACTGATCCAGATACGGCAAGGTAAAAGATATTTTTTCTGCCAGTTGGCAACAATTTCATGCCCTACATTTGAAATAAGAATAAGTTAGTAAATGGATAAATAAAGAGCAAGGTAAACCTGAAAAGCAGTCAAACAAAATGAGAACCATGGAATAAGAAACAACATTAAACTAGATACCTGAAAAAGAAGGATAATAATAACAAGAAAGACTCCTATGGCCATTGAACTGCTGTAATAAAATGGAACCCAACTGCTAACAATGGGAGCCAACAACAATAGTATGAATCCCAATGCCAGACAAACAAGTCGCCATTGCTGAAAATCTGCAGAAATATATAAATGATATGATTGCATAGATGGTAAAGAAACTTAATAAAAAAACAACAGATAGGAGTAAAATAAATAGAGCACAAAATGTTAAGATAAAAAAAAACAAACCTTCTTCAAGAGCAACTACAACAGAACCTGGTATTTCATCAGTGAATCTCACATCAATATATCTTTTCTCATATGGAGAAATAACAGCACTCCAGATTCCCTTTTGGACACTTTCAAATTCGGCCTTTTCACATTGGCACCATCCAAGTGAATTATTCCTGCATGTGATCCCCAAGTGAGAAGCAACAATCTTCACAAACTTTGTAATTTGAAGCTAAATGCGTGGAAGTGAAAAAAGACTGACTGTACCAAAAAGACTTGAGAACTGAGAGAGAAGGTAGAGTAACAGTAAGAATATTGAGAATAATGTGCACAGCATGCGCTCTGCACCTACCTGTGGAGACAAACCTGGATCCTGTTATGAAATTTCTCAGGAATTTCAGCTGAGGGAGCCAAAGTAATGCGGAATGAACTTGCATAACTTCCAAGTTTCAATCTTGAGAGGCCATATACATGAACACGTTCACATCTTAACAAGTCTTTAACAGCAGGTCCAGGAGTAGATATTTTCCCAGAAAGTGACAAGGCATGGATACTCAAAACCGGGCTTTCAAGATCAATTCCTGCAGTTGTAACATGTAGAGATTCTTTCAAAACACAGTGAGGTGGAAAGGGAGATATATAGCAACAAAATTCTTAAAACAGAGAACACACATTATACAGATGACGTGAATATTTTGGTCTGAATTACAGCTTAGCTAGATATAAAGCATGTTAGATTCCTCTTATTCCCTAGAAAACAAGCACATGGCTCACTAAGTCACAGCATAAAGTCTCTCACAATTAGTATTATGTTAATATGGCAGATTTTATCCCTCTTTTGATAATCTTGCTACTGCCTGATAAATGATGTGGTTAAAAACTGATTTGCCATAAGAGGAAATTTATACATTGTAGAACAATAAATTCAGGTAGTTCTCAGGTACAGTAAACTCAACAAAAATTGATGAAATTTGCCAAAAATGTGAAATTGAAATGAGAAGAAACAAAGCATATTCTCCAACTTTGATGTTCTGCTCATTCAAAATAGAATATGATGATAACAAACACACCCCTCATTCTCTCATCCACACCCAAGCCCAAGAGAAGATTTAAAAAACAAAAAAACAAAATAGAGAGATGTAGCCTACAATTTTTCAACCATTTACTATATGTTTGATTATATGATCAGGTAAGCAATTTACTAGTGCATAACCAGAACACAGTCCCCATATATATTTATTTACGTCAAACAACTAGAACTGAAATTGGAACATCGAAAAAAGAGTCGAGTGAGATCAATCATTCTGACGAAAGGGGACTCGATCACAATACCGTCAATCTTCTGCTAGATTTATCGCTTATCAGTCAATAAATGCATAAGTTTTGGTTGATTAAAATTGAAGAAAGGGCCTGTATTTAAGACATAGTTCACGTCCTCGCTCTGCTTACAAATCACACAGGCATTAAATAAATAAAAAAAGACACAACAATAAAGAAATTTCATTGAATTCCCTAACCATCCGACAAAGTGGAGGCTGCTGTCGAGTACAGTGCGAAGATAAAGAAACCCTAAGATACATTAAAAAGACCCCATTGTTTCAATTTCAACTCAGCAATCTAACATGCAGCACAGGTCAAAAACCCGAAAACTTTCATTAAGAAAAACAATAAGAAAAGGCAAGAAGGTCACCTCTGATCGCGGTCTCCTGATTGCCGGCTGAAAATGCAGGCGAATTGATAAAGACGAAGAACAGAAGAAGAAATAACCCCATGCCTCTGGAGTCCGGCTAGCTTCTGTTCGGCAAAGAAGGAGAGCGAGAAAGAAATGAACGATGGGATTTAAAATCCCGCGCTTTGTCGCTTCGATTTTCCTTTTAATCGCATCCGGCCATCCGCTGGTTACTTGTAAATTGTGTTGTAGGTAACAGATAGAACTTATATAGCTCCTTTTTTTCCCTGAAAGCTTGAAGAGTACGCGTACGTTAGCGTTCAAAAAAGGCTACCCCACTCTTTTTTTTTTTTTTGCAAGGCTTCTCTTCATTAACGCGTTCCTTGTGACACTCACCGACTTCATTGAAAAGCCCATTGGGCCCATAAGATAACCCAATAGTTCGCTAACCTCCCGACTTCAATGGAACAATGAGTACTCCGCCGGAAAAAAAAAAGAAGAAGAAGAAGAAGAAGAAGAAAAATTGCCCAAAAAAAACTCACTACAAATTTACTTGCTAAAAAAGAGTTGGGATAGCTTCTAATAATAGATCCTTCGCTAGCATTAATTGCTCAAGGCTAAATGGTGTAAATATTGTTGTCGTAAAAAAACAAACGTGAAGCAAGGTTTTTTTTATCTACATTTCACACAAGATTTTTAACTATCATGTTAACACTAATATAAGGTCATTTGGTAAATATATCACAAAGTCATTCACTGTCAACAATTTAGAATACTAGAAGCAAGGTTCTTCAATCATATACAATGATTCTTTCAGTGAATGAATTTTAATTTTAATTATATGCAAGAAAACTTTTATTTATTCAACTAACATCTTTTGACATTTTAAAAATTTTTAACCTGAAAGTATTTTAAAATATTAGAAGCAAAGGTTTTCAATTAAATGCAGTGATTATTCCACTACATGCACTTGAACTTCAATCATATGCAAGAAAACTTTCATTTATTCAAATAACATTTTTTTGATATTCTAAAATTTTTAGTTTAGAAGCATTTTGGAATAGTATGAGTTGGGGCATTCAATCATGTGCAGCGATTCTTCTTCTATGTGCATTTAAGTTTTAATTATATATAAGAAAACTTTTATTTATTTAAATATCACTCATTAATTTTCTTTGTGAATATTTTTAGAAGCATATATAATTTTTCTTTTTCGATATTCGATTGATTTTCAATAAAATATAATTTTTTCCACATATTTGAATGAGACTTTTGTATATTTGAATATCTCATTAATTTCCTCTTATCAATACTTTTGGAAGCACATTAAATCACTTTTACAGCAGACAGTAAAAAAAGCTTAGAGGAGACAAGGATGATGAGGATGAGAAGTGACTCTGGCTTCGATGAGAGAGGATGGGGAATGATTCCATATCATAAGAGTTAAGTTTGGGGATTGGACAAAAAACTAGAGAGAGATCAACCAACCAATATCTTGCCTTACTCTCCATCATCATCGTCAAAATCATGACCACTCACTGCTGCAATTATCATAGTCTTTAGGAATCACTGAGTTGCGGCCATAACAATGCCAAATATCACAAGAAAGTGTTTGGTTGAGGATAATTTAGTCATTTAACTCCTAAACATACCAGCACTGCAGGATCAAGGTTCCTCCCTAAATTTCAAGTCATTCTAACGAATGAGTATTGTGGTCTTTTTTTTTTGGAACAATTTTCCCAACAAAAAAAAAAACATATATACCTAAATAATAATTTTTTTTTTGGCTGACATCTTTGTAGAGCGCGCTGATGCTAGCGTTAAAAAGAGGCTACCCTTGTTCAAAACAAAAAAAAAACCAAAAAAAAAAGGGCACCTACCCTTCATCAATCGTTCATTGGAATACTCACAGGCTGCAATGAAAAGCCCATTCGGCCCAAAAGATAACCCAATAGTTCACGTAATTGACATGGCCGAGGCCTTTGACTACAGACAACCCTTTAACTTCTATAATATATAATTTATAATGATAATAATTTGAATGAATTGAATATATAAAAAATCTAAATAATCTATCTATGCTATTTGCTAATAAATATGTCAATATAAAAGGTTAAATCGGTGTGCTCCAATCAAATATATAGTACATAATTTAATAAAAAAATCGTTTTGTGATGATAAAGATTATAAATATTTGTTATTATAAATTATATATACATATATGTATATGTATTTCTTTAATGCAGAATTAATAATAAAAATATAAATTTTGAAAGAATAATAAAAATATAACCATTAATATGAAATTGTATACTGTCTGTTAAGAATGTGCGTGCGTGCGAATACTTTTTTGGTGAAAAAAAAAAAAGAAATCTCACGCACTTGGTGACATGGTGATATCTGAATCTGAAATCTAAATCTAAAATGAAATAAAAACTGAAAAGTACACCATGGAGAAAAGAAAAGATATTTGTTAGCAAAAAGAAAAAAGAAAAAAGAAAAGGAAAAGATATTTCAGAAGCCGAAGCCGGGAAAGAAGATATGCTCCACTGCCACATCCAAAGAAGCCCATAATTCCTACTGCTAGGCTCGCTGTTGTGTTCGTCGTTCATCTTTCCGTGGCAGTTTAGAGTGCTGAAATTTTAAATTCTAAGTTCTTCTCCAAATGCTTGACTGAAACGAACGCTTTACTCCTTTCAAATATTCGTCACTCCTTTTGGTCTCTCTTTCCATTCCATGGGAACTCTCACAAGTTGTAGTTTTATACCTTTGAATTCCGAATTCCGTTCCAACCCTGTTCGACGCGCTTTCAGGGAGAGAATTCAATACCATCGGCTCAGCAGATTGAGGGGTTCGTGTTATTTCTGCAGACAAAGATCGAAATCAGGCAGGTATATCGATTTTGGTAGGTTTACTTGCTTTAGCAGCAATAACGACACTAATGATGAAGGGGAAAGCGGTAGTCATGCCTCGAAAGATTCTAATTTGACGACCACACTAGCTGAAGGGGCTGAGGAGAGAAATGAAAATGGCTTGAATCCTGAGAAGTCAAGGTCCCCGGTTTCTTCAAGGGTACTTAACTCTCTGTTCTCTGTTTTATGTTTTTGGGTCCTTCCACATATTCTGATTTTTTCATGATGCTTTAAATGGCATGAGATTTTTGCTTCTTTATCTAATTTGATGGAATGAACATATAGTAAGAGGAAGCTGAAGCAACACACTTGTCATGTTAAAATAAATGTAAAACCATTATTATCTGGCGAGTGCCAAATGATGATGGGTGTCCAGGTGATAAATTTATGAGAAGATTTTGTAGTTAGCTCTCCTCCTCAATAATCTTGGCACCTGTATTTTGTTCATCGTTAATAACGCTTGCCTAATTTTTTTTTTTTTTTTGTGCCCGTTTTACTGCATTTACGTTGACTGATATGAATTCAAATAAAAGAAAGGTCCTTTAATGAACGATCTTGTGCTTCTCAATGCCTGCTCTACTTGTCTGCTATTGTTAGTATGATTTTCTATCTTGCGATTTATTTTTTCCATGGTACTCGTTTACTGAGAGCCCCCTGATAAATATTTTCTGTGGAAGTATAAGGATTGTCAGTTATCGTTCTTGATTATGTTCCTTTATTTCGCTTCTTCAGTCATCTTTATCCTCAGTTGGGCCAGCATACAACAATTTTCAAGTTGATTCTTTCAAACTCATGGAACTCCTCGGGCCTGAGAAGGTGGATCCTGCTGATGTAAAGCTGATTAAGGATAAGCTTTTTGGTTATACAACCTTTTGGGTGACCAAAGAGGAGCCTTTTGGTGACCTTGGAGAGGGTATACTTTTCCTTGGAAATTTAAGGGGGAAGAGAGAGGATGTATTTGCCAAGCTTCAAAGTCAGCTAGTTGAGGTCACAGGTGATAAGTACAACCTTTTTATGGTGGAAGAACCTGATTCAGACAGTCCTGATCCTCGTGGTGGGCCACGCGTTAGCTTTGGTTTGCTGCGGAAGGAAGTTTCAGAGCCCGGGCCAACAACACTTTGGCAATATGTGATTGCTTTGTTGTTGTTTCTTCTTACCATTGGTTCCTCAGTGGAGCTAGGAATTGCTTCTCAGGTAGGTTGGTTACTGATTCTCTGTAAGCATCAGGTGCTGATCAGTAAATGTTGATGAAAAAACCATTATATCTCAAACGCTTCTAAATTTTATTCGTCACATCAATATTGTCTAACCAACTTCTGTTATTTAAAACTGGTTTGTTGATTTCATGTTTTTGATTCATCAGATAAATAGACTGCCTCCAGAAGTTGTAAAATACTTCACAGACCCCAATGCTATTGAACCCCCTGATATGGAGCTACTATTCCCCTTCGTTGAGTCAGCTTTGCCTGTAGCATATGGTGTCTTGGGGGTTCTGCTATTTCATGTAAGCATTAGTTCTTATCATTTGTTGGATTTTTGTCACATAATTGCATTTCACTAAAATATCTTTGTCAGTGATTACAGAACTTGGAGTTATTTTCTGCAGACCGTTGTCTGATTTACCCTGTCTTCATTATAGAAATGTTTGCCTTGGCTGATCTAATTAACTTGCTACTTATCACTATCCACTTTGACTAGTATACTTCGTATATAGTGCATGTAAGTTGTATGGTGGTTCTTTGATTAGGATGAGATCCAACCTGATTAGGTGCGGACAAATTTCATTATGTTGCGATTGTCTGTGGAGCTGTTGCTTGGGATTAGACAATAACTGGTCAAAGATACTCTGATTACTTGGGCTGATACTCTCTACCTTACATGAATCTGATTAGGAAATCAAAATCTTTTCCCATAAAATCTGCCTTTGATGTAATTATGAAATCAGCATTCCTGTCACGTATTGCTGACTGACTGATGAAATTTTCGTGTTAGTAATGAATAGTTTCACGAGTTAGTTTGTGGATTCCGAAGATCCATTTTCCCATTGTACCATGAGCCCTTAGTCTCAGGCCAACTACTTCTTTAGTATTTTAAAGTTTCCACGCCACACATATTAATTATATTTTACTTAATCTGCTTTCTGGAAAGTATCACTAAAATTTTCCAAGTACCCAGTTATGTTCCTAGATTCTTTGGATGTCTACCTGATTGATTTGGCTATATGCAGGAAGTTGGACACTTCCTGGCAGCTTTTCCAAAGAAAGTGAAACTAAGCATTCCTTACTTCATTCCAAACATCACTCTTGGCAGTTTTGGCGCAATTACTCAGGTGGGCTAATCTAATTCTTCCCGCTTATAAATTTAACTTGGAATGTGCAATTGATATTGAAATATTTTCTGGGTTGAATCTTGTTGGTCATTTTTTTAAATTGGGAGCATGAGCAACAGTATAAGTTATATAACATTATCCGGCAGAGTGAAACTTGTTAAGGTTTAGTTTGCATATTTGAGTGACGATCCATATTTTTTTCTTCTGCAGTTTAAATCCCTTCTTCCTGATAGAAGCACAAAGGTGGACATATCACTTGCAGGCCCATTTGCTGGTGCTGTACTATCTTTTTCAATGTTTGCTGTCGGCCTGCTACTTTCATCAAATCCAGCTACAACAGGAGATTTGGTGCAAGTCCCTAACATGTTATTTCAAGGTTCTTTGTTTCTTGGACTCATCAGTAGAGCCATGCTCGGTTATACGTAAGTTTCATTTGTTTTTGAGCCTTTAATGTGTTTAAAACTTGTTAGCTTTATGCTGAATTGGTTCTTGTGATATCTTCTCTTCAGAATTAATAAGTTGATATCCATTGGATTAGAGTGAAAATGCTTACAACCAAGGCAAGGCAATTGGTTTTTACCTTGGTTGGCGGGGAAATTCCACTTGGTCTTAGCACACTGCAGATTATTCTCTTGCAAGCAGTGTAACTGGTTTGTTTTTGAAAAAATCAAGGCAGAGTTCTTATCAGAAGCCAATAGACCTTATTCTTTCTGATTCTTCTTGCTGATCTGAACTCGTGGCTCGTGAGTTGAAAAGTGAAAGCAAAATTCTTTTACCGGCAAGCCACAATAGACCTTATTCTTTATACTAACAAATTCCTGCCTCTTTTAAGTCATAATACCAGTTTGAAAAAAGCTTGGATGTTCAAATTTTTATACTTGACAATCTCACCTGTATGCTCTCCATGAAGATAATCATCTTCTTGAAACACAAGCATGAGAATTTGTTTAGGGTGGTCATGTAGGACAAGTGAGGGGAGGGGAGGGGGAGGGAGAAAAGAGGGGAAAAATAGAAAGAAATGAGGGACAGTGACCGCCAATGCTCAATATTATTCAATTCACCAGAAAAGGTCTAACAATTGACATCAGGTGGTTGAGTGCAGCCCTTTGTGTACAGTAATTAGATATGTTCCATGCTTATGTGTATAATTAATTATAGTTCACATTGATCCATTGCTGTTCTCAATGTGCAGAGCAATGCATGCTGCAACTGTTTCAATTCATCCTCTTGTAATTGCTGGCTGGTAAAGCATATTTCCTGTATAGATGATCACTGACTTTATTCTTGTTTTGTAATTTGATCGCTATCACCTTTTTTATGACCTCATAGGTGTGGCTTGACGATACAAGCTTTTAACATGCTTCCTGTCGGATGCCTTGATGGTGGAAGAGCAGTGCAGGTGTGTTACTTCATCTATTGAGCTCCAGGGAGGAAATTAGTTTTTGCACTTGATTACTGATTATTCCGGACCTGAGGCTTGTGAACAATTTCATATTTTTGGAATTTGGCTGGTGATGATAGTAATATGTGAGTTTAAAAAGAAAAGAAAATCACTATTCTAAACTAAATTTGCACCAGGCTGAAGACCTTCATTGATTCATTAGATCTTTACTAATATGAATGGAGCATGCTAATATGTGGCATGTTTTTGTAGGGTGCATTTGGAAAAAGTGCATTGATTGGCTTTGGCTTGACAACTTACACGTTGCTTGGATTAGGAGTGGTATGCCTATTCTGCTATGATATATTATAAAATCATGAACAACCAGTCAGATATAATTCAGCAGACACTTTTAGACTGTATTGCCCTAATGCTCCATGCCAGCCATCCTTCTGCGTGTGTGTTTCTTTTTACTTGATTCAATATTGAAATTATTAGTGACAGTATGATCATCCTTGCATCTCCAGCTTGGTGGGCCTCTTTCACTTCCTTGGGGACTCTATGTTTTATTATGTCAGGTACTCGTCTTAAGAGGAAATGACTAAACCAAGAAGGTATTGCTATTATTTGTGAACTTTCAGATTGAATTTATGCACTTTTTCAGAGGACACCGGAGAAACCATGCTTGAATGATGTGACGGAGGTTGGAACATGGAGAAGGACCCTGGTGGCGGTTGCTACTTTTCTTGTTGTCTTGACTTTGCTTCCTGTTTGGGATGAGCTTGCAGAGGAACTGGGTATAGGTCTTGCAACCGCATTTTGATAGGTGATGGCCGTGATGCGTTGAGTAAATCCTTTCTCAAAAAAAGCTTTTCTATTTATTAGATAGGTAAAGTCACAGCTAAAGCGAAACATTTTTGAGGTTTTTTCGAGTGATGAACCCAGTGTACTTTATTGGGCCAAAAATGTAAATTAGTTCGATTTTATACCTATTCATCAAAAATAGAAGATACAATTATGGTCTATTATTATTACAAACTAAACTTGGTTGAAGTGATACTTGTCAGATGGACAATAAAAAAGAGATGCAATTTACTATTGGAGGCATGAGGATAGCGTGAATCAGTGCTGCAAAACGCAAAGATGAAAGAACTCTAAGATGAACATCTGTTCTACCCATGAAAACGCATCGAAGATGTCAAGGTCAAAATTGGATCCTGAATTTCAATTTTACATCATTAATTAATAGCAAGAATTCTGAACATCCCCATTTTAAATGACTTGTCGACGGGATCGATTCTCGTGATAATCTCAAATTCTCAATCTTTACGCTGCATTGCATGAAGTAATGGTTAAATGTAGTTGGTTCCTCGGGCCCGGACTGCGAATGTATATTTTTTGATACGTGTTACGTTGTCTGAGGCTGTATTGTACAATTTATTTACTAAATAAGAAAACGAAAAGTATCTACAATGTACGAATGATATAAAATAACTAAAGTTGATATTTAAACGTTGTTAAACCTAATTAATAACAATTTAGAAAAATTAATTTTTTAATTCTTCAATTTTTCACTTATTTATAATTCAGTTTTTCAATTATGACTCGTTACAATTAAATCTTTCAATTTTTAACTCACTTATAATTTAAAATTCTTATCAAATAAGAGGGATAAAAAATACTCATATTGCCTAAAAAAATTTCTCTTGCTCTTTAATGTGGATATAAGTTAACATGAAAAAAAACTGACAAAAATTACGAGACTTAATTATAAGTGAGTTAAAAGTTAAAAGATTGAGTCATAGGTGAGTCATAATTGAAGGACTGAATCGCAGTGAGTTATAATTGAGGAATTAAGTAATAACAAATCATAATTGAGAGACTAAAACATTAATTTTCCCTAGCAATTTTATCAATGTGATTTTTTGTACTAGTACATATGCAGGTCTAAATATCTAACCTAAAATTAAGTGCATTCCACACAAACAACCATAGCTGGTATAATTTGTGTGTAAGTAAATGTAAAAATCCAATGATATGGAATGACTTAATAAATTATACTGTATAATAATTACTTTCAATCACTTGTGCAGACGCTGGCCCAAAAAAAAAAAAAAAAGATCACGTGCATACGAAGCAAGATAAAATTTTGTTGTTCCACCAAAAAAAAAAGGTTCTCAGCTGGTATCTAACTACTAAACCCATGCAAAAGAAAATAATAATCGAACATCCATTCCAAAATACTATAAAAGGTGAAATAATAATGTACCAAATGAATTCTTAATATTTTCGGGAAAAATATGAATTCTTAAAATTAAAAAAAAAAAACATAGAAAGAGGGGGGTTCAAATGCGGTCGGGTTGTGATGCGGTCCCTTCTCATCTAGGCGGTTGGCCCTGTCACCTGACATTCGCACGTGCAGCGGAATGATCAAGCAGCAAGCTTAGCTCAGCAGCTGATTCCTCCATTTTATGTCCGATGAATGAGCTTCCTAGAACTCATTCTTTATTTGGGTTCTGCTTACAAAAGTACAGGAATGTACGTAGTCCTTCTCAATTTTTGTTTTTAACGCAAGATCACAGATAACTGTGCAAAAAAAAAATTGTTTAGGTTATGTCAGAAATTATACAATTTCTACACTTTAAAAGGTGGTCCGTCAGAATTTGTAGTGTCAAAATTATTATTAGAAACTTAACGGACAAGCCAATTCATACATTTATTGACTAGAAGAGAAGGATTAGATGTGTTGCAGAGTGATTTTCACGGCCTTTTGAATTGCTTTCCTGCTCGTTTTTTCTTTGCTTGCGATTCGGAATGCTTCTTTTGTTTTTCCTTTCCGCCAGGGGAATTATAAGTTTGTTTTGTTTTTTATAGGTGTAGATGGACTCTTTTTACTTATTTTTTTGATATAATATTGACTTGACTTTAAAAAAAAAAATACATCTATTAGCTTCTATTATTGTCTTGGATGGAAGTGAAAGCTATGTCACTAGCTAGCAAGGATGCTCTCTTGATGTAATATGTGATAATAATTAATTAAGATAATTAGAGTTTGTCTTAAATATTAGGATTATTATCCATTAAGGATATTCAAATAATAAAATTTATAAATTAGAATTAAAATTTATTATTTTATTTTATATCATTATCTTAGATTTATTTATGTTAAATAATATGAGATATTATCATCCGTATCTTTTTTAAATTGGATTTAAGATTTAGGATTTAGATTTATTATTTTATTACTATTTTAGGATAAAGTATATATTTATTCTTTTGACTCTATACAACATTTTATTTTAATCTCTTAATTTTATAAAATATATTTTTAATCTTTTAATCTTAATATTATTAATTTTATTTTAATAAAGTTTTATATTAAATTTTTAAATATTGATAAAATATTCTCAAATGTTAACATAAATATCTTATATTAAGTTTAATTTGTTTAATGACAATGATTGACATAAAAAAATTATCATTTAAAATTAAAAATATTAAAATTAAAGAATTAAAAAAATACTTTATAAAATTAAAGAATTAAATTAAAATTTATATATAAAGTTAAAGAATTAAAAATACATTTTAATCATTATTTTATCATTTCAGAACTTTATAAATAGAATTAAATTTTTTATTTATATTTAATTTTGATTATTATGAAATAGAGTTTCGACCTCTCCTCTCATTTTTCTCTCTCTTCCCCTCCTCCGGTCCTCCCCTCCTTGGTTTACATCACCTCTTCTGTAGGATGGCCAACTTAACGCATGCATGATGCAATTGAACCTTTCAAACGCATCGATCCAACACATGGCTCTTTGAGAGGAGTTCTTTAGGTTCACTTAAGCTGCAGATTGATCTTATTATAATCTAGGATTCAATATAATAATTCTAAGACAATGTATCAACGCGTCAAGTTTAATTATTATCTTACTGCATGAAAAATTGAAAAATATCAGGACTGTTAGAAGAAACCTTTGTGCCCAAACTCGACGTCTCATGTTCTTGTCGTGGGACGGGGAATTAATTACCGGTACTTCGACATGGATTTTCCATCAAAACTTGTCAGCCATCAGAAAATTATGCTCTTTATAATTGAGAGCATCCCTTTGATTGGAGACCCAATAATGAATCCCTCTCCTCTTTTTTATACTGAACTATCTGAGGGCAACTACGGGAATCCACGTCATCATTCACAAAATATATTGACGGAGAAAGGATGTTTTCATTAGCTGCTCTTTTACTGCAGCTATAGTCTATAGGTATTTATCAGTAGTTTTAGTTGTACAGCAGGTATAACTAAAATACATAAACAAAAATGGGTGCCAAGTGATTAAGGGTGAAGGATCTCATAGTTGAAAACATGGGGAATCCTGCTTTCTTGTTCATCGTCTTCCTCGTCCTTGGACAAGCGAGAGAAATGAAGAGGGTCCAAGCTGTGGGAAGAAGGTGGGGCCTCCATCGCAAGGTCAAAACCAGAAGGGCTGAAGCTGCTGCTCATGTTCATCATGAGATTGGTGGAAGCAGATGAATTGTTGGAGTACGCTGGCTGGAGTCCTATGTTCATGTTTGGCTGCTGCTGCTGCGAGCTCTGTACAGCACTTGCTAATGCATACCTACTGTTCATCAGCTGACTTTGCACCATTCCCAGCTCTGCTTGCAGAGATGCCACCTGAATTCACAGCTTCAATAAATGAATCCTTTTGATTTTTCCTCCTCATCATAAATCAATTAATTACTTTCACATAATTAAGCGCATTTATTTTCATTTTCTTGCTGCTCGTCGATCGGTGCGAAGTATGATCATGGATGATCGACAAGAGAGTTCCACACTTATTTTGGCTTATTATTAGTGATATAAATGCCTTGGAAATCAGGAAGTTGATGGTCTCGATTCATGCAAGTCGACCGATCATTAATTATATCCTCGATATAACCAAGAAGGTGCAAGCTCTCTTTCCTTTTCGTGGTTCTCGAGTTTATTCGAGTCTGAGTCTCTCTTCAGGCAATCTCGATCAAGGTCCCTCGGCGCGCGCACGGATTCCTTATTAGCTTGCTGAATTTAGAATCTTACCTGCTAGCTCCGGAAGTAAGCAAATCTTAACTAAATATGAACCGCTTTGGACCATAAAATAATGCAAGACGACACACACGTGTATGTGAAATTAAGAACCTGTTGCTGCAAAGAAAAAATAGTGGCAACACAGCCATAAACAGGATCGGACAAGCGAGCTTGAGCCTCGTAGGATATGGTAACCACTGCTTCTTGGCGGCGGTTGACGGGAATATGAAGCAAGAGCTTAGAGACATTGCTAGCGCCGAAGACCTTGTGAACGGCGGCGAAGCGGGCGGACCCCTGATCGGAGCTAAAGTGGGGAGCGAAGATGCAGCCAGCAATGCACTTCCTGCGGAGGAACTTGCAGGCGCCACAGGGAGGGGAGGATGCGGCGGAGGCTGGTGAGGGTTTAGGGTGGCGAGCGGCGGAAATGGGATGGCGCCGAGGGTCAGCCATATGGAGAAGGAAGGAAGAGAGACAGAGGAAAGGGAAAAGAGTGGGGCTTTTTGGGGGGAGCGGTGCAGAGGAGGTGATGGTTACGGGGAATAATATGCGGAAGAATGCACGTTAGTCTCGTGAGGGGTTGGCGAGGTGATTGTGGTGAGCTTTCTGTTGACGTTATGGTTGGTGAGAGGCACGTGCAAAGGAAGCCACGTGACCCATCCTATCTATTCTGTTTCTTGAACTCTTGTTTATTATTTATTGCAATGAAATCAAACAAACTTCTCTTTTCCTTCTGTAATTATGTCAATAACTTTTTGTTTAAAAAATTATTTCTTTTTTATATTGTGTGTCTCTAATGATCCTCGTTCCCAGTACGTTTGAAGGGAATATTTAAGTTTATGCATGAGTAATGGTGATAGTTAAACTATTTATTATTGCAATGAAATCAAACAAACTTCTCCTTTCCTTCCAACGTTTGAAGGGATTTGTTGGTTCCAAAAAAGTATTGCCGTATATATATGAAACCTGAAAGTTTTGGTTTCGTGGGAAAGCACAAGGTCTGGGCGGCTCTTCGCGTGAGATGGCAATCCCAAACATGCATGGATGTCATGGTCGGGCCCACATCCAAGATTTTCCTTCTCAGTTTCCTTTTGGGGCCGCAAAACAGATCATTCCGCCGTTTTTATTGTGTGTCACACGCGCGCGCGCGCGCGCGCTTGTAACTGGATTGCGTAACAGCAGGCACCAGATGAAAGGATGCAGCACAATCTAGAGGTTAGAGAGACCATGGGCTTGTTCCATTTTTATTCTCATTTTTTATTTTTAAAATTATTTTAAAAATAAAAATAAAAAATTATTTTAAAAAAATAAAATAAAAATATGTTTCATTTATATTAGTTTAAAGTCAACTTTAAAAATTAAAAAATTAATTGATAATGACGATTGTTGGCAACTAATGATGATGGTTTATGATAGTAATTGATCAAGTTGATTGTAATTCCTAATAATTAAAGATGGTATATTTTTTAAAAAAAATTTTAAGAAATTTCTATTTAAAAAAATAGAAAAATTTTAAAAATAATTTGATTTAAAATATTCATCCAAATGAATTTTTAAATTTTTTTTCAAAAACCGAAAACAAACCCACCATGTATTTGCCAATATGCTCGACAGCTAGTCTAAAAACACAATCTTTGACGAGCAACGCTAATCAAGGATCTTGCACCATATCTAGGGACTTAAATTATTTCATGTACTTTTGGCCAAAACAAATTATTTCGTGTAATATTCTCACTAGTCGTTAATGTGAGGCAATTTTAAAATTTTTTTTATCCTTAATATAAGATAAAGTTAGAATAATTTTTTTCTTTTAATTTTATCTTTTGTTTGTTTATCATAATTTGAATTATTAAATAAATATTTATTATAATTATTAATTGAAAGCAAATGAAAAATGAAAAAAATATATTTTTAAATAATCTTAATAATATAACAATCATTTTTTAATAAATATGAATTGAGTTTATCTTATAATATTAATTATGGGAAGGAGCATAATAATATATAGATTTTGAAAGAAGCCTTTAAGTTTTTTTTTCTAATTCACGAGCATTCTTATATTTGAGATAATCCCATTCTAGACATTATTAGATATTAAATATGTGCAACTCTTATAATAAAAATTAAAATATTAGTATATCATGTTACTAAAAAATTAGATGAATATGTTAGATCCAATTCAGTTAGGGGGAAAAGTATTAAATCGAACTGGAAGAAAGACAAGACTTAGGTAAAAACTAGACTTCTTCCCTTACATTGCATAGGTTAAAATTAAAGAATTTAAAACAAATATTATTGATATTATTAATATCAACACGTTTGAGATGATTAAATTCTCAAGAGTTCCTCTATTCAATTATTTTTCTTCTTCTTGAATATTTTATTTGTACACATTTTGTCTTTATTTCTCGATCCTATAGTGAATAAAGATTTTCACTCACTCCAAAGTTCTAACATCTATATAAATGAGTTCTGTGACCAATTCATCTCCAAATAGAGAAAAACATACAATAAAATTGTGAAAATCAGTTGATAGCAGAGATATAACAGTATTTAGAAATAAAATCATAAATGAATGGGAAACAAAAGTACTTAATTGTATAATTCTCATACAAGAAAAATAAACTTGCTCTTAACTAGGGGGAGTGAGAGGTGACAATAATTCTCACAAATTTATGTGGAAATTCATTGTTTCTATTATTACTATCTTCAGCACCACTTCTTTTTGCCTCGTCATCAGTGTGACGATCAACATCCATAGATTCAGCATTTGAAAGATCATTACCCTTTATTTCATCTACTTGATCTTCAATCAACTAAAACCATGAAAAATTTTATATGCACATCACTGTAGATGTGATAGTAGCATAAAGTGGACATCGATGAAAATGAGGCTTCTTTCTTACTATAGCTTATTCAATACTAACAATGCCATGCAGATTTAATTGAACTTTAACTTTAACCCTTGTCTAACCATAATAGGATCTATGGAAAGGAGCAGGCTAAATAGAAATGGCCAATGAATAAATAAGCTTGAAAATTAACCTATAGACGATGGAAAAGGTAATAAAGGTGACATTAAGATATAAAGTTTCCACCTCAGCACCACCATAATTACAAATCCTTCAAAATTCACCCTCCACTTGTAGTAACATGTTCTCTCCTACAAGCACAGACAATGAAAGTGATTACCATGTGCACATAAAAAAAGCTAACCAAGTACCATAAAAGGAATGAGACATTGTGCAATACACCATTGACTTGAAAACAAATCATGCTAACAAATTATGATGAAAAAAATTGTGCAAATAAGAACTAATTGTAGATCATAGTAAATCAAACTACTTGAGAATCCTATAGTTTGGTATTCTTCTTGAAACAATTTCAACGGCATAAGCTAGAGTCATACAAGCACACAAATTTTACTAAATGAAACTATTAGAGGGTGTAATTGTGAAAAGGAAGGCCAACACTTGATCCACATACACAAATCAAAACCCTAATTGTACCTTACTGATAATAGATGAAATTTTTAAAGAGTGAATTTATAATTTGGATCATTAAAGATACCATCCTACTTTGTTCATGTCAAAGAAAAGATAGGGCATCTTGGGTATCAATGGAGTCTGAGCTTTCATATCATAAAAGATTGAAGTTCCAGTAACTACTCCCCCACTAAAAGGACATGACAAAATACATGATTTCGTTAGATTTATGTGATGGAAATGAAAAGGACAAAAGCAAGAATTTGCATAATCTTTATCTTTATTATAATTAATTGCATGTAAATTTATTTTGCTAGTTAAATTGTAAAAATTACTTTACACTTATCTTGTCAACTATTGCATTATATGAAAATTTTGGGGAGGTAGCAGTGTTAGTTACAGAATTCACTCATTAATTTTATTAAAGCCAACACATTTTTCTTGCATAATAATAAATAAAAAAATAATCATATTATTACACTTAACAGTCAGACTAGTCTTGAAATTCAAATTTATATGTATGTTGATATATCAAAAACTCATCACATAGATATGTAGCACATGTTATATACTTTCAAAGGTTCCAATTCTTTCTTCTTCGATGTACCAAGCCTGCAGATACCATGCTTTCATAGTCCATCTAGAAAACAAAAATCTATAATAACAGAGAGCACATAATAGATTGACTATGAAATAAACCCACATTAGGTACTTCTCTCAAATACATGGGGAGCTAAAAGGAAACACATTGTGCAAGTAATTTACCAAAAACTAAATACCAAAATTGAATTTATTAGAAGATTAAATACCTTAATTAGCTGCTATTGTCTTTGCCCTTGCCCACTGTGATGCAGTAGTTTAAATTTTCTTCGCATGAAAGAGGCAAACAGAACTTTTGAGGGCAACAAAGTTTTGTGTGTGTGTGTGTGTGTAAAGTGAGTTGACCTTAAATTATAAAGCTTCATACTGGTTAGTACTCAAATTACCTATTCATAAGCATTTATGTAATGAGATGTCAAGGTCTTCTTGGCATTATGTAGCTTTTACCTTTTCATCTTGCAAATCCTTCTAAAGATCCATCAATACCCAAGCTTCTATATATTTGGATAATGACCCCACTTTTTTGAATCAATCTCAGCACCCCAGGAAGAGAACTTCTCTGAACAGAAAACTTCTTGTCGAATATCCAACATAAACCAAAGGTTTAACCAATCAACCTATAGAAAAGCACAAAAAAAAATCAAAGTATGATTGAGAAGACCAACATTAAAAGCCAATCAATGAAAGTCATTATAGCTTATTCAAATTAATGTGGGTCCATTTGAAATTCAAAATCCTTTGTATGAAAGATTAGAACAAAGACCATAAAATTGAAAAATTTAGAAGGTATAAAGTAATTGAAAAAATAGGAGGAACAATTCATGAGAAAAACATGTTTATTGGATAATGACAAAGGATTACTCCCTTAAATAGAGGAGAGGGAAGAGAAGGATCTCAAAGTTAGAAACCGCAAGGGAAAATAAAATAATAATTCTAGGAATAAGAAGTGAAAGAATGAATGAGGAAAACCTACTGTCTAAGAGAAAATGGACAAACACGAACTGACGTCCTTCAACTTTGGATCTAAAAAATTGTTTGATGATGAAAGAAGCACAAGTGAGAGTCTGAAAGAGTGCATCACATTGATAGGAAAAGAACCGCTTGAATATTAAGGAGTAAAATCTAAGGAAAAAAAAAGAGACGATAGTGTAATCTCACCATTTAAAAGAGTGGCTACATCCACAAACAAACTCTTCATCCCCTATTCGTGGTCAATGAGTTTCAAAAATAGTTGATATGCATTTCGACACTTCAATGCTTGAGTAGCTTGAATTCGAACAAGAGAGTTTGAGAATAGAAACACTTCCTCAGTACTCTCCATTTACATTGAAACTCGAGAATAGAAACATTGAAAAAAAAAGGCTCTAAATGTCACTACATAGAGAAAACGTCCATGGGGAAGTGTAACATCCC